ATATATATATATATATATATATATATATATATATATAAACAGAGCTGCACGCTAAACCATGACGTCATCCTTTTCCACATCCTTCCTTTGGCGCCGCAGCACCCTGCTCTGTCCGAAAGAGGTGGGATCCCCAAGAACACCGAACATTACTTGCCTCAAGGTGTGTCTCAGATCAGACCCTTGTCTGAGGAGGGCATCCTCGCAATGGGACTTTTTCCACTTCGCTGTGGACGTGAGTGCCATCAGATGCATCCGGGCCGGGTAAAAAAATTGGTCATGTACAGCCCGGAAAGTCCCCATGTGTGTACACCCTGAGATAGCAGCACACCATGCAGTCATTCAAGAGTACGCCTTACTTCCTTCGTGAGCACGACAAAGACGCCTCAGGGCATATATACTCACACCAGGCAGTCAAAATCACAGAATTGCAAAATCAGCGGACAGATCGAGCCCTCGTAAAAGGAGGACTCAATCTGGCCGCTCATTCCGCAATGCTGCGATTTTGAGGGGCTAGTGTGAGGGCATACTCTTAGCGTGGCTAGTAGGAAGGTTCCAAGAATTTTCGATGATGTCGTCATTTAAAAAAAGGGAAGAAAAAAAGCAGAAAAAAAAAAAAAAAAAAAAAAAAAAAAAAAACAACTTATTGCAAAGAAAGTGGCAGGTACAAGGACGATGGCATGACTAACGGCCTCGCTCCACTACACAGCTCCGTAAACGAATCTAGAACAGAGACCTGTCTAGATACACATTTGGACTAACCGAACAACAAGTATGTATCAGATAAGTCCCAGATACATTTACACCATTGTATAGTGAAACAACGCCCCTGAGAGAGAGAACGCATGAACAACCAACCTGCTGTCGATCGGACCATTGGACCATCCGACTGCACCATTTGCTCCATAAACGAATCTAGAACAGCGGCCTGTCTAGATACATTTGGACTGACCGAACAAGTTGCATGTTTCAGTAAGTCCCAGATACATTTACACCATTGTATAGTGAAACAACGCCCCTGAGAGAGAGAACAGATGAACAACCAACCTGCTGTCGATCGGACCATTGGACCATTTGCAATTGACTGGACCATTCACCTAGCTCAGTTGGCACACCAACCTGCTGTCGATCGGACCAACCTGCTGTCGATTGGACCAACGTGCTGTTCTCGATTGGACCATTGGACCATTAGACTGGACCATTTGCAATTGACAACAGCATGTGAACAACCAACCTGCTGTCGATTGGACCAACCTGCTGTCGACTGGACCATTGGACCATCTGACTGGACCATTTGCAATTGACAACAGCAGGTGAAAAACCAACCTGCTGTCGATTGGACCATTGGATCATCGGACTGGACCATCTGACTGGACGATTTGCGATTGACAACTGCTGAAAGACAGACGGGAGTTCGAATTCCAATGAATGGAATCAGATGGGTAAAAAATTTACCTCTGAATTTACCTGGGCCCAGTCAGATCAAAGACGATACATGAAACCCATCGCCCTTTCAAAGAAAGAAAAGAAGCGAAAAACGAAGTGGAAAAAAAAGAGAAAAATTCATAAAAATGTGCAGTCGGCAGGAGGGGTAAACACAGGTACCTACCCCACAGTAAACCCCTCACCTCATATAACAAAACATTGCGCTCGGTACCCCACCAGTTCTCTAACTCGCCAATATCCATGTCCGCATGCGAGCCACCATCCCTGCCAGCTCCCTCTGCTTGTGTCATGCAGCATGAAGATTCGACAGGCGCCCCCGTCGCAGAATCGTGCACTGGAGGCGGCTGTCAATTGCCACCCCTGACAGCTCGCGATGCTCGTGTCATGCCGCGTGGAGATCCGACAGGCGTCACCGTCTGCACTGGAGGTGGCTCTCAATCACCATCTCTGAAAGCTTCCGATGGTCGTGTCATGCCGCTTGGAGAGTCGACAGGAATCGTAATCGCGGAATTCTGCACCGGAGGCGGATCTCAATCGCCACCCCTGCCAGCTCCCATGCTTGTGTCTTGCCCCGTGAAGATTTGACAGGCGCCGCCGTGGCAGAATTCTGCACTGGAGACGGTTTATCAATCGCCAACATCCATGTCCGAATCCGAGCCGCCATCCCTCCCAGCTCTGGATGCTCGTGTCATGCCACGTGGCGACCCGACAGGCACTGCCACGGAAGAATTCTGCACCGGAGGCGGCAGCTTCAGGGACCGACTAAGCGGCGGTCCCATACTCTGGTACACCCTCCGCACATGTGCTGGCATGTAGAAGCCTCCATTCTTCTGAGCTCCTTGAGTGGGAAACTGGTCGCGGGACTGATCGCAGGATTGTTCCTGGGACTGGTCATGGAACAGATCAGCATGGGACTGCTGCTGTGGATGCAAATTCTGGTACACGCCAACGTTAGTTGGGTTTTGCTGATGCACCGGCAGGCTATTACTCGAATGGTCAGTATGGGCACTCATCTGTTGAGTCTGACTAGATGGAAATCGCTGAGACGGGCTGCTTGGCGGATGAGCATAGCCATGCGATTGATGTTCCCCTCTCCACGACGAGAAGGGGCTCTGCAGAAGTGCTGAGTGTCGTGGAGACGAAATGTCACTCACCGATCGCATTTGAGGGCATCCGTTTCCATTGCCAGGGTACCGTACCTGTGAATCGGAAAGTGAGCGGTGAAGTTGAGTCGGACTAGACAAGCTCCGCAGCGCAATGTCCTCCGTATAATACCTGTACGGTTCCTGAACCCCTCCTCCTATTCCTCCTCCTCCTCCTCCTCCTCCTCCTCCTCCTCCTCTTGCACCACAACCTTGTGCAGTTCCTTGCGGGCTTGACACATCACCATACGATTGACTCCTACTAGAATGTAGTGCCGCAGAACGGATTGGTGACCACTGCCGTCGATCCGATCTCTCTGGCAGATGCGGCTGAGGGCGATACCAAGGCACCCACTTACTCTCGTCTGCTCCCGGAGGTATTGGAGCATTGATGCCCGGAAACAACACCGTCTGAATAGGTTCTTCGCGGGTACCTCCTGACGGTTCCTTTGCTATGTTAGGGAGCGAAGTTCTCTCACCCTCCTTTTCACCTGCCCAATCTCTCCACCGAAGGGATCCCTCCGTTGCTCCGCCTGAATCGCCCTGCCTGTCTACTCTATCTTCTCCATCTTCCTCATCAAAGATCGTGAGATCAGCAGCGTCATTTCCAGAATCTGTCGCATAAACCCACATACACATACAGCGAAGCGAATCCGCCAACCAAAAGAGCATTCAGATTACCAGTTGAGAAATCTCTTCCATAAACATGCGTACACAATGCACACACAGCTAAATCACAATCAGCCAATGCAGCAGCCAGAACAAAGCCCCAACCCACACACAACAAAAAAACCCCAAACAACAAACCCGGGCCGCACCGCACGTGGACCGCGGGCGTGGGAAAACCTGTTCCAAGTGGTACTAGTTTCTTTTGCAGGTCCCCCAGGCTTCTTTTTCTGGTTTTGTTTTTGTTTTTGTTTTTGTTTTTTTTCGTTCTTACAGAATTGCCTTTTGACGGTGGCCCAGTTGTTTGTCGTTATTGTGGCGGTTGCCAGAGAGCAAAAACAAAACAGAAAACGAAATGAAAAACACTGAACAGTGGCGCAGCTGCCACAGAGTGAGATGAAAAAGACACCGAAACGACGCGAGCACAGCCACAGAGACCAAAAAAAATAATAAAAAATTGATGACATGCGGGCACCTCCAAATTCGTGACATGCATATGTGACTGCACATGCACGCACACACACAGACGCACACGCCACCAAACAAAGAAACAAACAAACATATGATCCCCTGGTCACAACGCACACACGTCATGCATACAAGCTATTTTTCCGGTCCAATTCAGTCATGATGAGGCGCAGGTGAAGACGGTAGGGGGAGAGGAGGAGGAAAAGGAGGAAGAGAGAGGAGGAAGAGAGGAGCAGCAGGAGGAGGAGGAAGAGGAAGAAGAAGAGGAAGACAAAGACGAAGACGAAGAAGAAGAAGAAGAAGAAGAAGAAGAAGAAGAAGAAGAAGAAGAAGAAGAAGAAGAAGAAGAGGAAGCAAATGAAGAAGAGGAACAAGAGGAAACAAGTTGGAAGAAGAAGAGGAAGGAGGAGGAGGAGGAGGAGGAGGAGGAGGAGGAGGAGGACGAGGAGTGGGGAGACGAGGAGGGTGGGGAGAAGAGTTAGAACGTGTTTGAGGGCAGCGACCATCCACACCCATTCGGTCGCACCAACTGGTGCCTCTTTTTGTTTTTTTGTTATCTGATTGATGCATGAATACAGATCTTCCTGTCATCAGTCCGTCATGAAACCTCCGAAGTATATGTGAAAGAATTTGATGCCACTCACCTAAATACCCAGGGGGGTACCCAAGCTCCCTCATGCGGTTGAGCCATGGAGGGGGGTCTAATTCCTGCAAATAACAAAAGGAAGTTCCAAAAGGGGGGGATAAAACATCGCCATAAGCCATGGCAAACAGGAGGGCATCAATCAGTCATAGAGGGGAGACTACCCACATACCCCCATCAAGAGGCACTGACAACGACGATTCGTGCATACAAAAGGAGGCACGATCATTCCTCAGACTGAAGGCTTGGCCATATAAGCCCACCCAGCACACCTCAAAAATTATTGAAAAATATGATTTTTTAAATTTCCAGTAAGTTTGTTTTTTGTTTTTTCAGTTTACTTTTGTGTTACTAATTAAAAAAAAAAAGGAATTGATTGATTTTTATTTTTTTTTTTTTTTTTTTATTTTTTTTGTATTACGGGTAGCAGAAGGCCAGTTCCTACGCCACACCTGGCAAGTCTTGCAAGTCATCTCAATTATACATCCACCCAACACATCCGTATATCTTTTTTTCTTCTGTACACAATTTGCGACACAAGCTTTCAACGAACCGGCCTCCCTCAGGTCGTACTCACACTAGCAGTGTCTTAAATGTATCTGGGCCGCAAGCTCAGGTCGTACTCACACTAGCAGTGTCTTAAATGTATCTGACCCCATTTGCGGCCGGTCCTGTATGCATCTGGCTGCAATTCCATCCGGAAATAAGTAAAAACGTGGTAGTGCGAGTATGCCCTCAGTTGGTACACCCATGAACTGTTAAAATACAGACCTGAGTTCGATTTCCAATCGATACAGATGAGTGAAAACAACTGTTTCAAAAAAAAAAAGAAAAAAAAAAAGCTTTCAAAAACACGAGAGCCGCCAGAATTCCAAAGGTGTGCCAATACCATTATCAGGAGGGGGGAATGATAACCTGAAGGTAAATGAACTGCGCGATTCCTTCACGACATCCGTTAAAATCGCAACGATGCAAAGAAGATTACCATGGTCCCTGCGCAAGGATGCCACACATAAATCGAGAAATGGTGCATCCTCTATACAAAACTGATCAAGGGGGGGGAGGGGGGGAACAGAATGTGTGATGCGTGTTGGATTGTGAAAAAAGAATGTCTGATGAGTTCGTGGGGGGTTTGGCACATTGCAAACCCATCCTTTACTAATGCTCGAGCCATCAAAAAGTGCGTATGACTTTGAACCTTATCCTAAACAAAGAAGACGCTTATCCTAAACAGATATAAGCCTTTCCTAAACAGATATAAGCCTTTACTAAACAGATAAGCCTACCCTTAAACCACCAGTACACGGCCCCAGCCTTGCAGTCCAAAACTTGTCGCCACAAGAAAACGAGGCCAAAACGTCAAACGCCGCGCCTGCCCTTGATAAATTAGATCAGCGGTCGCGGTTTCGTTTCGCGCCTCCAGAATTTGAGGTGTCAGGGCCGCGGCCCAGGTGCCCATGTACTGGACGGCGCTTTAAAGCACCAGCACCAGTACATGGGCCAGCCAAGTTGAGAAGCCTCTCCTAAAAGTTAGGGGACTCGGCCCACAGCGGGCGTGGGGCGGGGCGGGGATTTTTTTGTCCCAAACCGCAGGGTGGGCACTGGCGCCGAGCGGACAGAAAAAAAAATTCCCGCCCGCCCTCAGACCCCGTCATGGGGCAAGTCCCCTCACCTTTAGCAGAGGCTCATTTGCCCTCTTCATACTTCCTGGTGGTTTGACAGATAAGCCTTTACTCAACAGAAGATGAGCCTATCCTAAACAGATAAGCCTTTACTCAACAGACGATAAACCTATGCTAAACAGATAAGCCTTTACTCAACAGAAGATAAGCCTATGCTAAACAGATAAGCCTTTACTCAACAGAAGATACGCCTATGCTAAACAGATAAGCTTACCCTAAACAGATAAAGCCTAAACCCTAAACACATGAGCCTACCCTAAGCAGATAAAAGCCTAATCCCTAAACTTAAGACATGAGCCTACCCTAAACAGATAAGCGTTGATGAGACAGACACGCTCCGGGGATGATAACGCGACTCAGACACCCTCTAGTTTGCCTTCAATATTTCTCCAGAATGTCTGCGCTCGGCTGACGAGTCCTAATCAGCTTGACAACAGTGAGTGATTAAAATTGCGCAGAGGGGACTCGGCCCATGGCTGGTCGGTACTGAAAACTGGCAGAACTGACGCCAGCAAGTCTGTCATGTTCTGATCACCTATCAGTGCAGACAAGTTCCACGCGTCGTCGCGTACGTCGAAACCGTTGTTCATTAATTTGTCATTAATTACGGGGTCAACGATGCCAAAAAAAAAAGAAGCGTAACGAGAAGAAGTTCGTCCTGGTAGAAGTTCGAACTTTGAACCGGTTCTGCAAACTATCATCGCAACTAGTTCTTTCAAGCGTGGCCAGACTTTTTGAAAAGAATCATCGCAACTAGTTCTTTCAAGCGTGGCCAGACTTTTTGAAAAGAATCCTTCCTTGCATTCTCTTCAACCAGAATCCAAAAAAAAAAAAAAAAAAAAAAAAAAAAAAAAAAAAAAGCATTCTCGGCTCTCGCAAGAGTCGAAGTCGAGCCTCTTGGGATAAGGTAAAGGTATTGTTTTAGAGATGTTCTGAGCAATGTCGTAGTTCAAAGTTCGATGACTACATCCTCCACGAAGAACTAAAAGTCAAGTCGAAATCGGCGCACGTAACAGCCATTTGACTCTAACCACTGAGCTACTGGAGACCTTTCTATTGTCGTGTTTTTTTAAGAGTCTTTTGAAAATCTATCATATTTTGTTGAAAAACTTCTTTGTCTTTTTACTTGAGTAGTCTTATGCATGGTAAGTACTAAGTACTATAGCTACAATCATGGCCACTAATAAAATAAGACTTGATGAAACCAGAAACAAATAAAAATAAGTGGTATAAAGAAGATTTCCTACAGTTTACAGATTCGTCCAACGTTGAATTTTGGAAGCATAGACAGTATATTGAAATATTCCAGCAAAGTTCATTTTATCTAGAACTAAGATAATTCATCAAAAAAAACATAGAAAATTTCCAGCAAAAAGATAAGTCCGATAAGTCAGATAATACAACTAAGAAAATTCATTAAAAAAAACATAGAAAATTTCCAGCAAAAAGATAAGTCCGATAATACAACTAAGAAAATTTCCCCAATTCTGTGGGTAATATTGGAATGTAATCATTATCTACAATACAAGTTATACAACTAAGAAAATTTCCAGCAAAAAGATAAGTCCGATAATATCACCTACAGCCTACAGGCAAATAACGTAATACATTTTGTCATTTTCCGATTTCTGTGAATTTTGGCTATCTTCATATTGAGCATCACAACCACAAATAAAAATAGAACAGCGAAAGCTCCTACATAAACAGTAAAAAAAAACAGAGAAAAAGAATCAAGACCTAATAACATAAGTAAACCTGAAGCATTACAAAACACTAGAATGAGAAACTTATGAAAGTTAAAACGCTAATTTCGGTATTACAAAGAGCAGTTTGAAGTTTGAACCAGTTCTTGGAACTTTCATTGCAACGTGTGTGTGTGTGTGCTTTTTTTTTTTTTTTTTTTTTTTGGGGAGGAAAGGGGGGGGGGGGGGGGGGGGGGGGGGGGGGGGTGAGGGGGGGATATCATTTTTCTCGATTAATGCGTCTCATACTTGCACAGCGGCCAGGTGTTTGCCTGACAAGTTGTTGGTTGTGCGTTTGAATCTCAGATTGACATGCATGCTAATCTTTTCCGTAGTCCAGCGACCTAACTCGGTTGGTGAGGCACACAAGCGGCATGCAGGAGGTCCTGGGTTCAATTCCCATTGGGGTAATGTACCTTCCTGGGCGAGCTTGGCACCACCACCTAGAGATAGCCCATCGGTCCCCCTGGTAGCAATTAAGCAGTCTGAACTGATGTTCGCAGGCGGAGAGGGGTCATCGGGGAGGCACAGCGACTGGGGCTAATGTACCTTCCTGGGCGAGCTTGGCACCCACCACCAAGAGAGATAGCCCGTCGGCCCCCCTGGTTGGCATTAAGCAGTCCTCGCTGATGTTCGCAGTGGGAGAGGGGTAATCGGGGAGGCACAGCAACTTGCCACTCCGATGATGCCCGTTCCCTCTTCTATCGACTGTCCCATGGCCCGCGTCGCCCACCCGGCTCCTGTGGGGCAAGGTGCAGCCTCATGCTCTCATCTCAGAGTACGGTATACATGGCTGCTACCGTCTTCACCCGAATAGAAAGCCCGGTCATTATAGCTGCATTCGGCCCAAGTTTCAGTCCAGATGCAGCGATAATGACCGGGCGTTCTATTCGGGTGAAGATGGTGGGGTTCCGCTGAAGGCAATAAGGGCACCCTGGGCTGAAAAGGCCCTCCCTGTCAGATTCGCCAGAAGCTTGAATTTACCTTGCCTGGTTAGTCCGATGATAATTATAGATTTCCCAAGCCCATCGTTTTTCCGGGAAAAAAAAAAAAAAAAAAAAAAAAAAAAAAAAAAAAACACCAAATCCTCCCCTTCTCGGTATCGTTCCATTTCTTGCGGCTGTCCCCAAGGATATCATCGCCGCGCGTAATTTCAAGGGTGACCATACTTTTTGAAAAGGAATTATCCCTTAAACTCTCCGCAACCAGAATACGTGCCAGTGCACATAAGCATTCGAGGCCGGGAGAAAAAGAAAAGAAAAAAAAGAAAGCATACGTGGCAGACGCACTTGCCACCCACCTTCATCCCAAGCGCTTGCCGCACCCTCTCACTGAGAGCTCCAGGCTTCAGGTCTGCAAACGTATTGGACGACGAGCCATGGTATCTGGAAGGAAGTCGGGGGTTTGCCCGAGAGCCCATTTTCTTCTGTCTTGTCGCATTAATAACTGCGTTGTCGCGCGGTTTGGGACACTCTTTAAGATTGTGATTGTACGATCCGCAATTGAAACACCTAGGGGCTTCTTGCGGGACCTCAATGTACGTCAGTCCGGGTTCCCGTCCCTTGCCGGCAATTCCGTGGTCGGCTCCGGTGCCAACGCCATCACCTCTTCCCACACGGATCACGTGGTTCGTCCCGCGCTCATACGTGGGTATACTGTAATGAGCCTCGTAATGCATGTTGAACCGGTCTTCAGCAATCCACGCAGACTCGGGACCACAAACTCCACTTTGCGCTCCTTCGACCTCCCCTTCCTCCACTTCCCCCCCGTCTTCCGCCTCACTGCTGACACCTGGTTTATCCTCCCAGAAGAAGTGCAGCCCCATCTGCCCATTTGCCTGCTCCGTCTGCATCGCTGGGAAGTAGACCCGTGATCCCGACTCCACTGGATCTGCAGCTGTCTTCACAAATCAACGACACAAGGCAAAGGCCGTGATGAGCATGCGAAAAAAAAAAAAACAAAAAAAACAGCGACAAGGTAAACAACAAATCGCGGTACGCAGCCCATGCAGCAGAATACGACTATAAGAGACACATGTAACTGTTGACTAACATATCATGAGTTCAAGTCCTTCGGAATCAGACGGAATCAGATGGTGCTCACACATTTATTAGTAAGTCAATACCAGTCACTCCCATCCCACACAGACAGCAACAGCAACCCTTCCCCCTTCCCCGCTTCCCCCTTCCCCCTTCCCCCCTTCCCCCCTGACATCCCATCCCTCCTATTCCAATTCGCCCTACCCATTTCACAATCCAGGATTAACAGTTCACCCCTCTTTCAAGACCAGCAAGACGAAGTGTGGCAGAACAAGCCTGCCTTCCTTTTTCTTTTTTTTATTTTTTCGTTTTCCGTTCCCAGAGGGGTCACATATCCCACCCCTCCTATTCCAATTCGCCCTACCCGTTTCACAATCCAGGCTTAACAGTTCACCCCTCTTTCAAGACCAGCAAGACGAAGTCTGGCAGAACAAGCCTGCCTTCCTTTTTCTTTTTTTTCTTTTTTCGTTTTCCGTTCTCAGAAGGGTCACATATCCTTTGTAGGGGTCACATTCCCTTTTTTTTTCGCAGGGTCACATCCCCATTGTAGGGTCACCTCCCCGTTTCTTCTAGGATCGCATATCCTGTAAATTCTGGCGGTCAGATTTCCTCGTGTAGGGTCACATCTCCTTGTGTAGGGTCACATCTCCTTTATAGGGTCTTATATCCTTTATACTACGGGGAGAGCAGCAGTTTCGATCATTTCTTCAAACGGCGGTGGAAAGTCACAATATTTGATGCGATTATTGTGACCCGTGAGCACTGAGTTCAAGGGTGCTACAGCCCTGGGGGTGGGCTGGATATCACGACCGCTATGGAGCCAGTTTTTATAACACCTCGAAGGGTTGTAGTGGTTACGAGACTTCGTTCTTGAGGCTGAGGGTGCCGGTTCGAGGCCGTGTGTGGGCGGGTGCAGAGCGGCTATTCTACACACACGACAAGCGACGACCAGTGCAGAGCGGCTATTTTACACACCACTCCATCAGGAGTCACACCAGTTCACCTGAGTCCTTCCACATTTTGAGTAACCCTCAAGCTGCTCACACAACTACCTTTCCGGCCAGGCCCCACCCGTGATATATTCACGCTAACAAAGTTTGAACATTTGTGAATCATAAGAGGGGCACCAGTCAAGGCAACTTCATTGCGAGTTCGAAAACAAAAGACAAAACCATAAAGACTCGGGATCCAACACCATAATAAGAGACTACCTTCGTGAATCGACCAAGTTCAACGTCTACAATAGGTCCAGTACGTTTGACAATATCTCCTTCTTTAATGGCAGTATCACTACCAAAAACCACAATTCCTACACTCTCATTTTCTAGATTCAGTGCCATTCCTATGACCAGGTTCACGCTTTCCGAGCACAAACATACCACCAGATCCGCCCGACCTTTATTTCCCAGGCCTCTGGCAACCCTTCCTGCTGTGATCCAGGGCAAGAAAGCTGTAACCGGCAAACTGGAGGAATACTACATCGGAATGGGGATTGAACATGGAACCTACGGCGGAATAGCACATGGGA